AGTAGGTTCCACAAGAAGACATACAAACATAAACAACAGAACAACAAAAGGACATCATACAGCAAAATGTACAGGGATTACAATTTACATATTTAACCACATGTACAGGTACCAACAGCATCTGATTTTGTAGCATCCAACCGAGCTTTAAAAACATGTAGTGGTACTAGCTTGGTAATGTTCCATTCTTTTTGCAGACTGTTCCAGGTTAGTGGAGCTGCACATCTAAAAGCTTTCTTCCCTAAGACAGTCCTAGCACTTGGCACATTTAATAAAACCACAGCATGCGATCTTAATTAATTATATTAGTTGCTAAAAAATAAATGAATACTGGTTAAATCACTATAACTACATTACTTGTAGTGCCTACCCCAAATGCTGTTTTGCACTGTTTTTAAAATAGTGATGCAGAGCTTTCATTTTGATTTGTGTAACCCAAAAAAACAAGTGTTATGGGACAGAAATCTACTTTAAACGTTGCTAATGTGCTAATATCTACAACTTTTCCTGTGTTAACCAACATGAGCTATGACTAATGAGCTTTTAGCTTGAACGTGACTCAATTAGCTCTGGACTCAGTCTTGACTTTGTCTTGTCTGCATTTGGACTTGATTCAGACTCGCATGGATTTGTCTTGGTCTTAACTACAGCCCACAATATACTACTATCGTGCAATAAGTGACATAATGCAATACAGACACAGCTATGAGTAACAGCAACCAGCAGAGCAGCTAGATATCTGATCTGGGGTGTAGAAGTAGAAAGAAGACGTCCTCACTCTGTCATCCGCATGAATGAAATTCACAAGTGGAGACTGTATTTGAACACAGACCACAAAAGTATTAACAACATCACCCAGGCTTACCCAGTGAATGTCAGAGCCTGCGCACAGAGTGGTGTCCTATTACATGCAACAGCCATGAAGACCATGCTTTTTTACAGTATGTTGCATGTGGTAGTTAACGTATGACAAAATAAAAAATGACTAGAATCCAAAATACATGATGATTGAAATGAATACTTTTATCATTTCAAACGGCTACTATATGGCCAGAAAAATATCCAAACATTTGGTAACACAGTGTAATAGCTTTGTATACTACTCCTTATAAGACAAAAATAGTGACATCAGCGCAAAAATGGTTTTAAATGCCAACACGTTTAGATTATAAGGACTGGGTAATGAATTATCTATTGTTTTTTTATATATATGGTGGTTCCTTGCCTGTTGCTGTCACCAGTCCACCAGAGATGGAAAGAGACAGGAGGGGGATATCGTTATCTGCCAATGCAATGAAATTCAAGACGGTGCCTCATGATGCACACACACACTGCATATTACACACACACACACACTGATACGCACACAGTTAGCCTAATGCTCAAACGTACATTGAAAAATGCACCAGCAAACCAAAAGCGGAAAATACACACACACCTTAATATAGACAAGACATTTACACTCCAACACATACACACAGCATGGCAAGCATAGTTATTATTGGGAGCTCGCGTTCACTTTAGCTGTGCACACACACCCTCACGAGTTCTGGAGACAAAAGGTAAGGACGAGATGTCGAATAATTCAGAAACATATGTCATCTGTGTGTATTATAGGTTCGTTTAAGCTGTCGGTAGCCAATGACAGAGGGGCAGGAATATGCTTTTAAACTATGAGTTAATGTGTTTGTAACAGAGCATGTGTCTTCATAATTATGAATATCTGCCACTGATTTTATTTTAATTGCGGTGACCATGTAAGGAGCTTCAGTTCTAAATGGCTTAGCTCTGTGCTGTCATACTTAAGTGTCTCTTATTCTATGTTTTTTTATGTTCTAAATTGTGTCAACACCTGTTTGGAGACTTTTACTTTAAAAAAAGTTGGACCCCTTGTATTATGATTAAAAAATATTAATGACCTGACTTTTAAGAGTGGCATAAAACATCATTCTTCATTTAAAATGTTGAATATATCCCAATGAAATCCCAAATTCCTGCAGGAGCCCACTTTCTCCACACGGGGGCGGGGCTACACGTTGTTTATCCAATCAAAAAGCGCCTAGTAGTTTAACCTTGGTTACCGGGGAAGTGATATTATGGTATGCAGACATGGCAGCCTGCAGTGGAGGCATGCATATGTATCAACAGAAGATTGTTTATCGGTGTTTTGTTGTGCTGACGCGCATCTAATGGAGCTTCGGAGATATTCGGCCATTTCCGGAAACTGTCGACGATACCGTGTGTATACATATTTCATTATTCGTTATCAGTACTTTCGTAAAGGTATTCCAGGGTTTTTGTTTGTTTGTATCATTGGTTCATCAACACACCCATCACGTAGACAGATGCTGTTGAATGGGCTGCTTTTAGACAAAATGAACGTTATACACGTACATTATAAGGTTTTATATCCAAGGACAAAAAACGTATATGTAGCATGCAAAATAAAGCCATTGTCAATGCCATGATATAGGTTCAGCTTCAGGGCTACAACTATACCAGTGGTGGAATGTAATGAAGTAGATGTACTCAAGTATTACACATTTGAGGCAATTGTCTTCAACTATTTCCATGTAAATGCTACTTTATACTTGCACTCCACTACATTTATTTGTGAGCTTTTTACACATTTAGATTATAAGCTAAAACAACATATAAATCAATTAAACATTGACATATCATTGTAAAGTTTAATTCAAATGTGCTCCACATTTCCCAGCTGTGAAGTAGACATTAATGCATAATTAATCAGTATTATAATATAATATTACGCACAACGAGTACTTTTCACCTTTAGTTATTTCATTATATTTTTACGCCAGTACCTGTGTACTTTTACTTAAGTAAGATGTTGAATAGGGGACACGTACTTGTAACAAAGTAGTTTTACAATTTAATATTGCTCTTAACATCTAGGTAATTCTTTATTGCAGCAAATGACAGTATGAAATATTTTTATGAACATAATAATTTAAAACAGCCACAGATAGGTTGAGCAAAGATTTTCATTTAGCAATGAGGCATTCATGCTTTCCTTTGTGCATCTGTATGTGTGCTGACATTGTATTCTATATATAAAGAGAACCAGTGATACCACTGGATTTTTGAATGGGAATTAAAAAAGATAACCATGTTGGAAAGGCCAAATAAACTAAAAAGCAGGGTCACATTAATTGAAACATCTATAGCATTAGAATTGAAGACTTATGCTAACTTTATAAACTCCAGCCAAGTAGCTAGAAAAACAGAATAGTATACAAAGATAAAGGTTTAATGTATCTTAACACTTAATTGGAAGTAAAATAAATAATACAAATGAACATTTCTAGTTAATTGAAGGCTAAAGATAAACTAAAGCTTTGTATTTCTTTTTACACTCAATCTAAGCTATTGAACTACTCTTTATTGATGTATATCTAGTTTTATTTTGGATTTGACAAATAACCTTTTACTGTAGTTGTTCAGTTGATGAGATCCATACCTACAAGATTGTTGGATACAAATAGGATAAAACCAAACCTGACATACCAGATGTCCCCACCAATAAACCACATTTTGATTCTGTATCCCCAGTTTAATCCAACACCAGCCTAGTCTTCACAGCCACCACCGCCATCATGCCCGGGGAGGACAAACCCCCACAGACCCGCCAGAGGAAGAAGAACAAAAAGTCCCGCTCCAAGGGGAAGAGCCCGAGCGCCGGTCCCGGTGTGGTAGGCTCCATAGAGGACCAAGATGACCTCCTCTTACCCCCAGTGGGCCCGCCTCCCCCTAAAAAGGAGGATAAGCCCAAAGTGTCTGCGGCCAAAGTGGAGAATGAGTCCTCCATCGCTATCTGCCTTCAGGTGCTGTTTCCCTACCTGCTGGCCGGGATGGGCATGGTGATGGCTGGCCAGGTGCTGGACAATGTTCAGGTGAGGGCAGGAAACAGTGAAGTGAGAATGTGAGCTTAACATCATAATGGTGATCGCTGGAGTTTTATTTTTTTATTTTATTTTTTCAGACATAACTTTAATATAAGTCATGGAGATGTTGTACATCAGGGATAATCGTTCATGTCCTCCTTGGACACCAAAAGGACATACAATTTCTTGATGCTGTCAAATGTATATTGTACAAACATTATCAACACATTACAGACATTATCATTCAACAAAGTACAAGTGCGAGAGCTGGAGTTTTTTTTATTTAATTGTAAATGTATTTAATTTTGTATCTATTTATTATAATTTCTAACTATTTGTATTTTTTTATTATGTCTTTGTTAAATAAGGACCATGCATAAAATGTACAGCACAATTAATAGTAAAACTAAAATATTTAAATGAATTTCAACTAAAAATGTACAGTACAACCAATGTTATCAATTCTGGTTGCTCAATATACCTTTTTTTGCACAGTGGTAAAAGAGTAAAGGTCGGTTATGTTTTAGGCTCATCTGGAAGCACATTTTCAAATCAAACCAAATCAGATCAAATTGTATTTATAGCTCAATATCCCAAAACGTATTTGGTCTCTGGGCTTTACAGATGTACAAACATGAATGACATTGTAAAAAGATTAAATCAAATTACACAAATAAAATAAAATTACAAGTAAGAATGTAAAATACAAATACAATGAAATATAATACAATAAATGACCATCAAATCTAGGACCAAGGAGGATGTTCGGGGCAACCTTGAAACCAGCCCTTATTATACACTGAAAAAAAAGGCCGTTGGATTAACATGATTTTAATATGGAAACCGGTTGCACACATTAAAATCATGTGTACTCAAAACTATTCCATTATGTTAAAGACACACAACTATATTATGTCAAAGAAACATGAAATTGTTATGTTAATGTGAATATTTCCTTTAATATAGGTATATTCATTTACCCTATGTTTAACCAACATGACTTTTAATGTTCATTTTAGGCTTTTAATATGCTCAGTATATTTCATTTGTACCTGTTAAAGCCAACATGACTTTTTTATGGTTTTTAATGTTCATTTTAGGCTTTTAATATACTCAGTATATTTCATTTGTACCTGTTAAAGCCACATGAATGTTTTGTTTAAACTACATGCTATAGTTTTCTGTTTAATCTACCTAGTGCTCAAGGGGTACATAAGATTATTTATTTCATGTGAATAGAGGCATGTCGTACATTCTTCTACAGGATCCATCCTAATCTCTTATCTACAGCATTTATCATAACATTTTAAAACAAATAGTCAATAAAGACAAACACATTTTTTTGAACAACATTCATGTATAAAAAATAAAACAATATTAACAACCACCACACATCCAGATGAGCTTTTGGTTTTTCCATCATGCAGCCCCAGGAGAATTAACAAATACATTGAAAATAAAGAAATAGAAAATGTTTGTGATGCATGTACATATGCATTATTGTGTTAGAACACAGCAAGGAAGCTTAAAGGAAACTATTCTCCCGACCAAAATAAAGGTTTATTGGGCCAAATGGCAGAGAAAGGCTTATTTGTGTAACTCATTCATAGTAAACAGTTAACAGAAAATGTCAACGTCTAGCCGAAAAAAGGAAATGTTCTTGCAAATCCATTATTTAAATAGTAACCTGCTAATATGAAAGGGCACTTTAATACAAAAAAGCAATGGCATTGCTTTGGAAAAATACATGGGAGTATAATAATGGCCTGGTTTCTCACCACATATGCACTAAAGAAAGTATTACAAATAAAAACAAGAACTGACATTTTGAAGTTAGTACATTAGTACAATTAGTGCAATTAGTACATTCTGAAACACATGACAAGTGGTACATTCTGAAAACACATGACCCCAGGAAAAACACACATTTCTGAAACATGCAAATCAAGCAAAAAGACAGTTGTATCGATGAAAGTCCAGTATGAATGCTGTAAAAGTGCACAATGGTCCATGGCAACAGCTCACTCAAACAGTTTGTTTTTAAACGCTTGGGCTTTCTTGGAGAGCATGTTGCCGTCTAGCTCCATTAACATTTGCTGGAGCACTTCGAACGTGCACTTCAGTTTAGGGGGGTAGTTCAGGTTCATTGCATACATTAGTCCAAACAGCATGGTAGCAGCTAATGCAATGTTGTCCACATCAGTTAGTACCTGTTGGCCTTCCAGGACAATCTGTCCTCTGGTCTCATCTGTCCTCTGGTCTCATCTGTCCTCTGGTCTCATCTGTCCTCTGGTCTCACCTGTCCTCTGGTCTCATGGTGGAATTGTGTTTGACGACATAAAGTCCCACTGTAATCCCCTGAATGGACCGCAGAATGACGTCTTCATCTTCTGCCTGCAGAGCGCACAGTCACAAAAGGAACAGAGTGAGATCTAACAAATCAATACATATATATACCCATTACTAAGTCCCTGTGTTTAACAAGTACATTTGGTCAGATTTCAGTACTTTTAAGCCTCCTTGTTATCTGATATACTCCTGTCTGACCTGAAAAAATGTTTCATTTCCTGTATCCGTTTTAAATTAAAAGCCCTCAAGCTTTTCAGTGTAGTCTGGCTATTAAACAAAAAACAGGGATGTTCACATACTTTAGGCTATATACTATGTGGTGTTTCAAAAAATACATATTTTAACGCCCAACAAAAAAATCAAAAGGTAAAATATTACTTCGACTGACCACAAACTCTCTCATTGAGGTACACACACAGCCCCTTGAGAAGACAATCCCGGCCTAAATCGACATCATCAACCTAAGTGAAGGGGAATAAGAAAATAAATAATCTATTTTGCTCAATGAAATGTGTACACTATTGACTCGATGTATAATTTCCTTAAAATGAATTCTTACTTGAGTCATGTTTGACATAATACAGTTCAGACGATGGCCTATCTGTCCTCCTCTCTTCTCCAAAACCTTCAGAAGTGTGTCAGATAGCACATCCAGCTGAGAGAGAACTCTTGATTGGAGGGGCAGGGTTGTTATGCGCTTAAACTCCGCATTTATCAAAGAAAACAAAATATCACAGTCATAAAAATCATGAAATCATTTCATTTTCTAATGATGTTATGATTGTAGTTGTGTGCTTGCCTCAAAACGCTGCAGAGAAACTAGTCCATGCATTTGTTACTTCAAGGCTAGCTTATTGTAACTCTTTATTATCAGGGTGTACCAAAAAGTCAGTTAAGTTGCTTCAGCTGATTCAAAATGTATTGACCAGAGCACGGAGAAGGGACCACATTACTCCTGTTTTGGCTCCATAGTGAGAATAACTTTTTATATCAAGTACGAACAACCAGGTTACATTTCATTTAGTTTACGTTTTTTTCCAAAGCGACTTAAAATAAGTATTACTGTAATATAAGACTACATATAAGAAACACCCTTATAGCCATTTCAACAAACAAAACATTATCACTTTTGTGAAGGAGGCTTTATCACAGAATGTTTGGCTTTTGCCTCTCACTTTCTGAATAACTTTTGCCTAATAAATCAGAAAATGTGTATCTCCCTGCAATGTTTGCAGTATGTAAATGTTATGAATAAATATTCTGAAATGGTCAGACTAATACCAGTTTTCAATTAGTTAAAGATCAAGTTTAAGTTAGTCAAGTAAATCACACAAAACATTTGAATACTCACCATTTACTACAGAGCCTTTGGAACAATGTTCAAAGCAAGGCTGAGGTCAATCTTCTCCACACCAATTACCTATCACAGAAAAACATATTTGAAATTATTTCATTATTCACACACAAATAAAACAAAAATGTTCTGCTCCTTAAAGGCGACATTTAATGATGTACCTTTAGGTTAATATGAACCGACTTCGGCCGAGATGGGCGCCTCCAGTGTAAAAAGCTACAGTTAAGTAGCCTATACCAGTGGTTCCCAAACTTTTTGTGCCCAAGGCACACCAAAGGACAAGTAAAAATCTCAAGGCACACCTATTGTGCAAAATAGCCCTTATAACACGTGTTATCACTCATATCATGTAAAATATCTGTAAATGTGCATAATTATTTACTAATGCCAAATAAAATGTGACAAAGACAACTATATTACTCATGAAATATTTATTAACGAAATATTTCAGAAATTAATTTGAAACTTTATCAAATTAGGCTTCATCAAAGCAGCAACACACTCATTTAAACCAGACAGGTCACAACATTAAAAATGAGGCAAAGGAAACTCAGCAGAAATTCAGCACAGAGAACTGTCAATGCAAGGAAGCTGCATTGTCCATGGTCCTGAACTACAAATTATAAATGTAACATTTCAGCAATCAGCATTGAAACATGTGCTATTGTAAATATTTTGCCGATTTACTAATTAGTGAGATACATGTGCCTGTCGGGGCGCGCAGAATGTTTTAATCCTTGGCGGCACTGAGGAGAGGGCCACTCGCAAGTCCTGTTCAACAGAGAGCCGTGACCTCCTGTTGTTCTTCATGTAAATCAGAGTAGAGAACGCCAACTCCAGAGATGGGGTTGTTACTAATTTTTTTTTAATATATTACATATTACTTTAAAAAAAATAATATATTACACTACTTCGTTACTATCTACATAAAGTAACTCGTTACTTTACACGTTGCTTTACTCGCCGAGCACGTACGAACTGCGCATGCGTGAGTGGCAATAACTTTCCTTACCAGCAGGCGGCGGTAGTGTGTATTTGTCATTCAAAACAGGCAACAACCGGAAAACAGAGAAGAAGAACAGACGACGTGATATAAACAAACAACAAATAGCTGTGCGGTAGCTTCACCTTAGCATGTGTTCTTTGCAGGTGTTTGTTGAGGTTTGACGTGGTGTTTCCAGCAGTGGATAACAGCTTCTGGCCTGGACACAGTTTGCACCTCACCGTCACATTCCTGTCTATTCTTCGGACGAACTCAAAATAATGGGCATACCTCCCACCCCTCGAAAGTTATCGCTGACTCAGCCATGTTTATGCAGTACTGCACGTGGAGATGTGGACGCGCAAATCGCGCAGATTACGTACATATAAACCTACAAAGTACTGATATAGTAAATACAAAAATTATTATTTTTGTGTAGTTGTATATTGCAATAATAACGTATGGTTGTCACAAAATCCCACGGCACACCCGGACTTGCCTCACGGCACACCAGTGTGCCGCGGCACACCGTTTGGGAACCACTGGCCTATACTAATGCAATGAGTACAACTTTGTACGGAGCCATACACATCAGCGTTGCGAGCTCATTCCCATTGGTTTTAATGGAGACGTGCACTGCAGCAGCGCGCACCGCTCGTCATGTGACGAGGAACAACCAATCACAACCGAGAAACATCTCAACTTCCGTAAACACAAGTGTACGGCAAATATGGAAGATAAGTTCATTTCACAGCGGGTGGATCGTCACCCTTACTTGATCTGTCCGGCATGTCCCCCATATTCATGGTATGTGCACCGCTGCACAATCATTAATATCCTCCACTTTCCAGTATCAAGTGTCGCTTTCTGGGACACACCTCCACACACACAATATTGTGTCTCTGTTTTGATCTGTGTGTATTTACGGTATTTACATGAACACAGAGCGGGTCAAAGCAGAGACCGCAGTCACTGCGGTCCCACAGACAGTATTGTATCTTTAACAATCAACACCTTAAATGACGGTGGCCCTGAAGTGCAAGACACCACAGCATTTCACAAAACACAACAGCATTTCACAAAACACAACAGCATTTCACAAAACGCCACAGCATTTCACATTGGACGGAAAGTGTATTCCTTTAGGGAGAACACATCTTGTTTATGATTGGACAGAGCCAGCCAGAGAAGCACTGCTGTGATTGGTTGTTTTTGCTGCCAGTCAATAAATGACGCTTTGTAGTGCCGTGAAAAGAGAGTCGGAGGCGGTGTATTAAGAATGGAGTTCCAATCTTTATTATCCATTACTTTCAGAGAGGTTAACACATGCACTGCTCTGCCTGATGAGCTAGCAGGAATGGCAGCTAAAGCTACAGGTGTTCCCCACTAAAGGGTCCGTGTGGCAACACAATAAGCAAGGTGAATTATGTCCAATAACGTGTCACCACACAAGCCCCCCCAGAATTCACACATAAACAAAATCAGCATGGCGGGGAGGAACGACACGCCGACCCCCACGACTCCTGAGCACGGGAGTCGGAAAAGTGACTCCCGCCTGTGCGGCCCCCGGAAGGGGAGGGACCGGAACAACAGGTCTTAAATCCGTGACAGGGGACGAGGCCGGGGGGCGGCCCCGTCGCGGAGGTCGAGCCAGCACCACAGGCTGGTCCAAGTCCAGGTGAGCAGCCTTCACCCGGTCCACCGAGACGTGCTCGGCCTTGCCACCCAGGTCGACCACCAGGTGCTTGTCCCCGTGCTCCAAGACCCGGAAAGGCCCATCATAAGGGGGCTGCAGGGGGCCTCTGTGCGCATCGTGCCGGATGAACACGTGCTCCGCCGAGCGGAGCTCTGCGGGAACCTGGGACACCTGAGTACCGTGCTGAGTAGTAGGGATCGGAACAAAGGCCTCAGCGGCGTCACGCAGGAAAGCCCGCTGGGCCGACGCCGACCAGGGAGCCGATGCATTTGGGAGGAAATCCCCCGGAACTCTCAGCGGCTGACCGTAGACCATCTCCGCTGTAGAACACTGCAGATCTTCCTTAGGTGCGGTCCTCAGGCCCAGCATCACCCAGGGCAGCTTGTCGACCCAGTTACCGTCCGTAAGGCCGGCCTTGAGGGCCGCCTTCATGGAGCGATGAAAGCGGTAGTCCTGTGCAGCTTAACCCCCAAACCGCCTGCCACAGCGTTCCAGAGCTCGGACGTGAACTGAGAGCCCCTGTCTGAGGAAATGTCTGACGGGGTGCCAAAACGACACACCCACGTTGCAATGAAGGCCCGGGCAACGTCTGCGGCTGATGTCGAAACGAGCGGAACCGCCTCCGGCCAACGGGTCGTCCTGTCCACCATGGTGAAGAGGTAGGAAAACCCCTGAGAGGAAGGCAACGGACCAACCAGGTCAATGTTGACGTGATCAAACCTCCTCTCAGGCACCAGGAAACGCTCCAACGGGGCCTTCGTGTGGCGGTGCACCTTAGCGCGTTGACAAGCCACGCACTCCCTGGCCCAAGTCCTCACGTCCCTTTTCAGTCCTTGCCAAACGAACTTCGCCGCTACCAAACGGACCGAAGGTTTAACGCCGGGGTGTGACAGGCCGTGCACAGCCTCGAACACAGGACGCCTCCAGCTGGCAGGGACGACAGGCCGCGCCAGGCCCGTAGAGACGTCACACAGGAGAGTAATGCCCGCGTCGCCGAACACCACGTCCTCCAAGCGCAGCCCCGCGCTCTCCACCTTCAGGGCCTGGACGCCGGGATCTGTGACCTGGTCTGCCGCCATGCGAGTATAGTCCAGGCCCAACTGGACGGCACCGATGACGACCCTGGAGAGGCAATCAGCAACCAGGTTCGACTTGCCAGCCACGTGCTTAATGTCCGTAGTGAACTCCGATATATAGGACAGCTGCCGCTGCTGACGTGCCGACCAAGGCTCCGCCACTTTTGACATGGCAAAGGTGAGCGGCTTGTGGTCGACAAACGCCGTAAATTCACGGCCTTCCAGCATGAAACGGAAGTGCCGCACGGCCAAATAAAGTCCGAGGAGCTCCCGGTCAAAGGCGCTGTATTTGCGTTCTCTAGGCGTCAGCTGGCGGCTGAAAAAGGCGAGCGGCTGCCAAGCGCCCTCCACCCACTGCTCGTGCACTGCGCCGACCACGTAGTCTGACGCGTCCGTGGTGATGGAGATGGGAGCCGTAGATGATGGGTGTGCCAGCAAAGCCGCCTGAGCCAACGCGGTCTTGACCTCAGCAAAAGCGCCGTCCGCCTCTGCTGTCCAGTCGATCTCCTGGACGGGGGTCTTGCCTTTCAACGCTTCATACAGCGGCCGCATGATGTGTGCGGCCCGGGCGATGAAACGGTGGTAGAAAGTCACCATCCCCAGAAACTCACGGAGCGACCGGGCTGTGAGCGGGCGAGGAAACGCCGCAACAGCCTCCACCTTCGCTGGCAGAGGTGTCGCACCGCCCTTGGTGACGCGGTGCCCCAGGAAATCGATGTCCGACACCCCGAACTGGCACTTTGCAGGATAGATGATTAATCCGTGTTCGTTGAGCCGTGTGAAAAGGGCTCGGAGGTGGGACAGGTGCTCCTGCACTGAAGCGCTGGCGACGAGTATGTCGTCGAGGTAAACAAACACAAACGGCAGGTCCCGCAGCACCGAATCCATCAGGCGCTGGAACGTCTGAGCGGCATTCTTGAGTCCAAAAGGCATCCGCAGGAACTCAAAAAGTCCAAAAGGCGTTATCACTGCTGTCTTGGGAATGTCCAGGGGGTGCATGGGCACCTGGTGGTATCCACGCACCAGGTCCACCTTGGAAAACACCCCCGTACCGGCCAGATGCGCCGAAAAGTCCTGAATGTGCGGCACCGGATAGCGGTCAGGCGTAGTGGCGTCGTTGAGTCGGCGGTAATCCCCGCACGGGCGGAACCCGCCGTTCGATTTGGGAACGACGTGCAGGGGGGAAGCCCAAGGACTGTCGGAGCGGCGGACAATGCCCAGGCGCTCCATGGTTGCGAACTCCGCCCTCGCTACAGCCAGCTTAGAAGGGTTCAACCGCCGGGCCCTGGCGTAGACAGGAGGCCCCCCGGTA